TTATGTACAAGTGTTTCTGTATATATAGACCATTTAAATTTGTATACAAAAATATATACTGTTTTGACACAGTCAGCTCACATTTTCCCTCAATCGACACACCACACAGATTCGGTCAGTATGCGCAAATGCCTAACGAATGTTACATTCTGCTATTGATCTATTTGGATCGTATCAGCCAAAACTACCCGTCATTCTGTATTAACTCGTTCAACGCCCATCGAATGATCTTAACAGGGCTTGTGTTGGTAAGTCACAAAGCTGACTTTTATTTGAACGCAAATGGTTTTTCCTTTCGAATCTTCTGATTGCACTGTCCAAGTTTCCTTTACAAGCGGAAATCGCCGTGTATTGTGACTGTCCACATCACTATCACTTGTGCTTGGTTTCCGTTTAAGATATTGTACCCTGACTGTGTGGTGCGTATGTCTCGCTTTTGCGGACCGATCTAACACTCTGCTCTCTCTTATACAGGCTGCCAAGTTCTCACAAGACAGGTACTTCACGAACACTCACTATGCGCGTGTAGGTAAGTCTGTCATTTGTGTTGATTGTTGTGTGGGTTTGTCTACAGACGACAGCTTACCCAGCGCTGCTATTTATAATCGCACTTTATTTATGCGTCACTTCCCGCTGTCATGGTACTCGACGACTCGATTCCACATCGGATGCACTTTGTGGCACCGCTTGGTGTATGTGTGATAGAAACAGGACTTCAGCCACGCACACAGTGAAACACAGGCGCTGATGCCAATATATATAAATCAACAAATGCCGCATACGCTGATGCTTCGAACACTCAATACCGTTCTCATTATGAGTGTTCTGTAGTCTGCACACGTACAAAGTCTCACAATCAACTGGCCATTCTTGCGCAGGTGGACTCCCAGGCCGAGAGTTGAAAGCCTTGGAACTGGAGTTCCTAGCTCGTATCACCTACGCATTGTGGGCCGATTCGCACCTGCTCGAGGCGTATTGGCAGCAACTACTGCAGTATGCACAGCGCAATACCCACCAGAGACGACATCAACCACTTGCGGGGGCGATCCAAAACCCACCAGGACAGGTGCAAGCCAGGCATAATGGCCTTCCTATGCCGCCCGCACAGGCAGGCGCTTTTTCGATAGACAACACTCGAGTAGCGGGCCAGGGAGGTGCCCCAGGAACTGGCACACACCCCGCGAATGTGCCTTACCACGAGGGGTTTGACCCGAGGTTAGGCGTACAAGCAGCCCAGAGGAATGTTGAGCCGCAGCACTCGCCAGCGCCAACGCAACCGCAGGATATGTACTCGCAGAATAGCACTGTTCAGGCGAGCGGTAGGCAGGCACACATGGACACGCATCCACAGCCGCATTCACCATACAGAGGTGTATCGTTAGAAAGGACACAAGAGTACCACGAGAATAAACCGGCCCAATACTGGCCACAGACACGGACTGAGGGGGAGGATGCGGTCAAACTGCACCAAAACACAGCACTAGCAGCCGAGCATAGCACGGCAACGGGGCATGTAGTAGAGAGACGCACTGAACGTATTCGGAAGAAGTCGAGGCAGAGCATTGGGGACACCTGCTCATCGCCCACACAGTACGTTGGCGAGAGCGAGACAGAGTTCATACCGCCGCACAACAAGGTAGAGGTGCAGCAAGGCACACAGGCGTCTGGACACAGGAAAATGTTTCTGCAGTCACCAAAACGTATGGGTATGGTGGTAGAACCAGGACTACCACAGCCGTACACAGGTATGGGTAGCGGCACGGAAGGGAGGGCGCTCACACAAGCACAGGAAACAGCGGAACTCCAAGCACGCGCACATATAGACGCACACACAGACGCCCAAGCACAAGCAAACGCACAACTCCACGCTCATACGCACCCTCAGCACCGACAACAATCTCCGCTGGAGCCGCCTTTGGGCCGGTACACCTCCTCTAGCGCGATGGCAGTGCCTGGCGCAAGCGTGGATATCAGTCCCAGGGCACCTCTAGCACAGGCGTACTCGTCCAGTTATGGGAGTGACCTGAGCAGAATAAGTGGAAACAGCAACAAGAGCGCGCCGCAAGACGTGGATCGGGCGCTCTCCAGTAACAGCCATAGCAGTCCCACCGGTCTGGTTGTGGGGTCCGCAACGTCCGAGGTATGGTTGTGGTCAAATGTGGGTGGGTGTGATGGTACATTGCCGTTGTTAAGGTCTGTGTGTGCTGTATTATATCTATGAGAATATGTAATAAAGGGAATAGAAAAGGCACTTACCAGTAAAAGCGATAGCAGTCCGACCGGTCTGATTGTGGGGTCCGCAACGTCCGAGGTATAGTTGTGGTCAAATGTGGGTGGGTGGGTGTGATGGTACATTGCTGTTGTTTAGGTTTGTGTGTGCTGTATTGTATCCATGAGAATTAGTAGAAGGTATAGAAGGGACTACAGTAATAACCACATAACCACAGCAGTCCCACCTGTCTACTTGTTAGGTCCGCAACGTCCGAAGTATAGTTGTGGTCGAATGTGTGTGGGTGTAATGGTACATTGCCGTTCTTTGGGTATGTGTGTGCTGTTTTATATTCATCAGAATGCGTAGTATTAGAAGTTCCACCAGTTAATTAAACCTACTTGGTCAGAACTTTACCAGAACATTGCTTTATCCTATAATCTGATCTTAGTTGCTTTTAATTGCTCTTCTGCACTCCTGTACCAGCAGTTGAGCTCGCCGCCGTTGAACGAAGAAAACTTTAGATATAAGCTGCTACATAGGCAAAGACAACGACTGAAAAGCGTAAGTCATACTTTCTTGCTCTATCTGAAATGTGTCATGCTTCATGCTCTGTCTGAAGTGTGGCTCATATTGTCTTGCTCTGTCTGAAGTGAGTCATATTTCATGCTCTGTCTGAAGTGTGAGTCATATTTTCATGCTTTGTCTGAAGTGAGTCATATTTCGTGCT